TTTCCTAAGCTAATGCTATATCTGTATATTGATATAATGGCTAGTCTAACTTCATAATTTTGAATCCAACCCAAACCAATGCAATCCATTGAATCCATTGATCTGTCTTATGTTTGCACTCTACTGTTGTCTGATGTTTGCCCTCTGCTGTTCATATCAATTTCCATTTGCAACAGGGGCTAGGGAGTTTGTCTGATACTTCAATAAGTCGTTCAATTCATCTCTGCCCAACTTTTATTTTTTATAATTTATTATTTTTTATATTTGTTTAATGACAGGAGTAATTGGAACACCATTAGGTAGCAAGACATAGTTGTATTTGCATTGATGAAAATGCCAAACATCCACAAAAGTTGTATTTTTATTTGCATCTTTGAAAATAAATGAGCTGAGTGCAAAGTGGGTGCATAAATCTTGAACCACTTTGCACTCACATGAACCAGATATTTTTGTTTTTTACCCTACAAATTTGTATTTATATTCCAACCAAACACAACTTTAGGCTTAGTTTAGAAGGAGTATAAATATAAATATATAGAGTACAAAACCTTGTATTTACTATTATTTTGTATGTATTTATATTATACATATTTTTATTTGTACTCCTTCCAAATTGAGCCTAAATGTATTTTGTCTCACTTGTTTCTTACCAAGCAACAATAATAAACATGTGGGTAGCGAATCTATATGAGAAAGAGGTCCTGGTGGACAGAGTACAAGATGATTCGAGTAATATGATTCAATTTGTGGGGTTGGCCTAAGAGTCGATAATCCCCAAATGGACTGGCGTTAGCCTAGCCCGAAAAATAAAAAAGGCTGTCTTCTTGGGCTCAAGCCCAGCCCGAAGACCAAAAATCCAAGCCCAATCCATGTAAAATTTTGGGTTGGATTGGTTTGCATTCGGGTTGGGCCCACCCAAGTTGCACCTTCACTCATCTCTAGCCACTTATGAATAATATATCCAAATCAATATGTAAAGGCTTAAAAAAGGGTAAATGCTGAAACCTCCCCTGAAGTTTGGTACTTGCAATCACCTCCTTTGAACTTTTTCACATAGTTGCAAGTACACCCCCTCTATTAGAATTCTCTAAAAAGTGTCATGAAAATGTCCAAAATACCCATATGATTACTTTTTACCAAGACGTTTATTTTCGAAATTTTTTATTCATATGAATTGTTACCCAAACCCTTCCAATCTCTTTTCTAAAATTGATTTATTTTTCTAATTTGTGCTTCATATCAATGGCTCAAAGGTAAAGCTGCAACTTCAAATTCTCTTTTTTTGTTGTTCATAAAATTTGTACTATTTTTCTGTAAAAATCAGCCTAAATAATAATTATATAGGTGCCTTGGGCATTTTTGTGCCTATTGTTAAAGGATTCTACTTACAACAGTGTGAGAAAATTCAGGGAGGTGATTATAATTTCCAAACTGAAGGAGAGATTTCAGCAATTTATCCCAACAAAAAATCAATGTATAAAGTAAAGGTTGCGGTAAGTGGAACCATCCTAACTTGGAGACCGATGGGATTATGCAACACGTGGCTAATAAATGTGCCAAGTCATAAAGAGTCCAATCCATAGCAACACCCCCTGATCTGTCACGTGACGTGAGGGCTCTTCATTGATCCATTGAATCGTAGATTCATAATCAAGGATTTGGCATGATGAAGGTCCTCTCACAAAGAGCTCATACATACCTCCTCCTAATCTCCTTTGCATATTTATTTTTTTACATTAAATCATTAAAAACTTCATAGATATCCCTCTCTTTCTTTCACACACACCTTAAATCCTTATTTTCCTCTTAAATGTTTCTTAGTATCTTTTGGATCTAAAACCTAATTTTTCCCACCAATACATGGGGTGAACCAATCTAAACAAATCATTTCTCCTTTCCTTGGATTATGAGGTTTTCCCTCTATTTTGCTCATTTTCTTGGATTTCAGGGTTTTCCCTTTGTTTTTATTAATTTAATTTAATATAGATTTGTTTAATGAATTGTTCTTATTCAATAATAAAATGTAATAAGAAAGAACTTGATTCCATTTTTTGGTTATTTAATTAATTCAATTTTAAAATTGTTTTTTAGCTTACTTATTAATCCATACTAAGCACATTTTTTTGACTTTATAAGACTAGACAATAGGAGGTAACCTATTACCCCAATAAATAGCAACTTTTAGACCCTAATATCAATAAAAATAATATTTTAATAAAATTTCAAAAATAATATTAAAGGTAAAAATAATGTTCATCTTCTTTCACTTACAAATGATTTATCAGCGCTGCCACCGCCACAGCCTCCAGCAACCTCCAACCACCTTGATTCGCATAAAGCCTTAAGTAACTACTACACTGTAATACGACCAGGGAAGAACATAGCATATGCGAAACAGAGCTGTATCATCCTTTGTTCCAGGGAAGACCATGAAACGTTCAAAAATTCCACAAGACAATCTCAAAGAAATAGGAAGAAACATAGAAGAAATTACCAAGGCGAGGAAGGCAACAAGGGCGTATAAAGCGCAGAGAGCGTAGAAAAAGCCTTCCTGCCGCTGTTTGGAGTTGTCATTCTCATTCGTCCACCAATCGAACGAATATGGGACTACTCCTCTGTAATTCCACATTCCGTTCTTGAAGACGAAGCGTTCGATTCGCACCAGCGACGCCATTAACAAATCTAAGTAGCTAGTGTGAGCATTAAAGTGAACAACTGAAAGTGCAGATGTTATTTCTACCAAAAAAAGTGCAGATGTTACATGTAATAATATAAGAGAGAGTGAACAACAGGACACGTAGAGACGAGAGTGTGGACACATGCAGCAGACAAGTTGCCACGTTTTGGGTAACGACGGGTGCTCCGACGTTGTGGCATGTTCGTCCGGCCGTCAATTGCTTCGCCTCTACTCTGCTTGTTAACGGATAAGCTCTATCTTGCTGCTAATCATGAAATCAATGTTGACGGAGACGGAGGTATTGTTGGAGGTTGTCGAAAGCGGTGGCGAGCAACGGGGCCAGTGAATGATTTGTAAGAGGAAAAAGATGAATAATATTTTTGTTTTTATTTAATATTATTTTTTAAAAGTTTAATTTATTTTTTAAATTTTATTAAAAGTATTATTTTTATTGATATTAGGGCCTAAGATTTGCTCATATTTATTATAATCTTTAAATAAAAAGAAAATTATTTTCTTTCACCTACGGGTCACCACCGTGAATAATATATGATAAAAAAAGGGTAAATAGCAAAGACCCCTCTTGTATTATAGGGTTAGTGACAAAGACCCTTTTTGTACTTTTTTTGCGACAAAGACCCCCTGAGTTTTTTACATTGCGACAAGTGCCCTTTTGGCCGTTAAATCAGGTAACAAAAGGTGTTAAATTATCAAAATATCCCATTAAGCCTTTTTAAATTTTCTTTTTTTGCCATTCTCTCTTAAAACTTAACTGGCCCAAAAGTAACGATCCGTTCACCACAGCCATTTTCTCTTAAAACTTACCAGAATTAGGGTTGTTATTTAAACATAAGGTCTAGAGAGATGAAGAACCAGTTGGCATAATCTCAACACCAATACTTCCTCGAGGTGTTGAAAAATCGGTTGGTTGGGCGAGAGAAGAAGAGACCAAGGAGATGAAGATGACAGAGAAACCGACATGTTTTTCAAATGGTTGGTTGAGGTTGCCGACGACCTAGGTATATTTCATTCCGTCTTCAACGCTGGCGGTCGGCTAAGGTCGCCCACTACCAAATGGATGGTCATCTGAGGTCGTCCACTACCAAACGGATTCTCCGAAGTTCCCGCTACGAAACAGATTTTGCCAAACTGTACACTAATGGGACTGATGCTTCGTCTAAATTCATACAAACAGGTTCATGTGTGGTTGAGGTCAGACGGGCTTTTGTTAAACACAATGGAGGACTTCGATCAAACTGGTTTACAATATTTCAGAAGGGTGAGTGGTCGGCCTGTTTGGGCGATTGGGCCTTCCGCCTCTTCCTTGGCTAACAAAACTCGTATGGACAAAGCCGCCAGAACCACCCCGAATCGATGCATCGAGTGGCTCGATATGTAGCCTCCAGATTCTGTTCTTTACGTCTGCTTCGGTTCTCATAACACAATCTCTACTTCACAAATGACAGAATTGGCTATTGCTTTGGAGGCAAGTGGTAGGAATTTTATATCGGTTGTTAGGCCTCCGGTGGGATTTGACATATACTCTGAATTCAGGGCAAATGACTGGTTGTCGGAGGGATTCGAGGAACGAATAAAAGCGCAAAACATAGGATTATTGGTGCGTAAATGGGCACCCAGGTGGATATTCTATCTCACATGTCTACCTCTGCCTTTCTAAGCCATTGCGGTTGGAATTCAATGATGGAAAGCTTGAGTCGTCGCATGCCAATCATCGGGTGGTTGACGTCGTCAATCAGTTTTACAACACGAAATTTTTGGAGGAGGAAACTAGTGTTTGCATTGAGGTTCCTAGGGGAAACGAGTGTTTCAGATGGTTGGCTCTCGGTCTTGGATGGGACCGAGATGTGAGAGAGCTTCTGCTTGTTGTTCTTCAACTTGCCATCACAGTCATCAGAGGGACCCCTTCAAAAGCTCTCTATTAGTGTTCTTCATTTTATTTCTCTCTACTCTAGAGTTTAAACCAAAGAGAGAGAAAAGGGTAGTTTAGGCATTTAGAAAACTTTAACAGTAAAATCAGAATTTTTTTCAAAGTTAATTGATAGAACACTAACAGGAGGTGGGTTTTTGTCTAATGGCCAAAGTTCAGGGAGCCTTTATTGCAAAAAAAAAATACAGGGGATCTTTGTCACTGACCCCATAGTACGGGGGTCTTTTGTAATTTACCCTGAAAAAATGTCGCTATCAAGAGAGAAGAGTAGGCAGAATGTATGGTCTGATCCATCTTATTTATCTGCTTCAACTCATCCACGCCGTTGAATGCTTCTTCCTTCGTAATTCGTACTCGTCAACTTGTTTTAACAAGAAAGGTCGGTGTAGACCGTACGAAGAACCAACTAAGACCGAGCACCAGCAAATCCTTCCGGTGGCGTGGGTTTGAAGCACTGACGCAGAGGAAGGAACCGTTCTGTAACGTATCGGTTGATAACGAAGCAAAATGTCGGCTGTTACGAACCAGGAGGAAGATAAGAAACCTACAGATCAGTCGGCCCATATCAATCTCAAGGTCAAGGGTCAGGTCTGATCATTCTTCTTCTTCTTCTTCTTCTTCTTCTTCATGACTAAGTGCGACTTAGGGATTTCTCTTTGGGGCGTTGTTGCAATTCTTTACCCTTTTTTTCTCCAGGAAATTCCCCCTTACAGATTGTTTACGGTGTATTTTTGGTTTATGATACATGTTTATGTTTTATATAGGACTTGATACCGTACAAAGTGTACAAATTTGTAATCGTTGTTTCTGTTGATTTGGTATTATGCGCGTTTAGTTTCGATTTCTCACTATTTGACCGACAACAACATTGGGATGGTTAATTAGTTCAGTTTAGGGTTTTCAATTTTCTTGCAAGTTAGGGTTTCATCAGGGACTTAATCTCTCGTCCTGTAGTGCTGCTTATGGTTTGTCAGTTACGTACTTCGGATGTTCTGTTGGTTATGATGGTTTTCTTTACCATTACTATGCAAAACAGTATAACTTTGGCTCAGTTCCATCGACTATCTCCATGTTAATGTTAAATCTGTGCGGGTTCGAAAAATAATGCACTGCCAACTTTCGTGCTTAGGATTTAATGTGTAGGAGAAGTTAATTCATTGTTTTGATTTATGAGTTTTTTTTTTTTTTTTACTTGGTATTTATGTTTTAACAAAATTTGCTTGGAATTGTGTAAGACTGATTGATGATCTGTTAGGACTATATAGGGTGGAGTCAGTATCTATAATTGTCAACTTTGGATGCTTTCAGATGACTCTTTGCTTCGTTCTTTATTACCCGTTTTAGGTCTTCCTCCAAAATTTTCTTTCTCGGTAAAAGAAAGGGATTCAGTGGATTTGTTCAGGCATACATGGGATAAGTTTACACAAGATCACAAGTACATTACCTCAATATCTAATTATCTATGCTATTCACCCTACTCTACTGACATTTCAATCAATTTTAAAGCCTGATTTATGAGTTTAGAGTCTATTTTTCTAAGATCCTGCTAGGTGGACGCATGTTTCAATGTTCTATTGACTACATTACCTCCATGTCTATGTGATTCACGCCGTTCTACTGACATTTCAATCAATTTTAAAGCCTGATTTGTGAGTTATGTTCTAAGATTCCTGCTAGATGGATGCATGTTTCAATGTTATATTGACTATGCATTTACCTTCTAGATTATCTGCTTATAAAGAAATATAGGTTTAAATGGATTGGATTTGTCTTGATCGTCTTGTATCACTCACTGCTTGATTCTTATTGGGAAAATTGGTTCAATTTGATGTGCCTAAGTGTCTAGAGCCTTGGGGGTAGTTTTGTACTACTAGACAAATTTTAAGGCCAAAACAAAATACAAAACAGAAGGTTGAAGACATTTCTGCTTCTCAACCTTCCATACTGCTTCATTATTCTATTAGTTTTTGTCTGATAACAGGCATGTTGCCAACATATAACATCCCTGTTATGTTCATTCAACAATATGGTTTTATAACCATGCAATTATTTGCAGATGAATGACATTCCATAGATTTCATATCATAATGGTTTTATAATAGTTCTCTGATCATGTTTGAATCTCACATGTGTGGGTAATGGTACTCTGTTTTGATGATATTATGTAAATAAAATCGTCTTATCGTGTTATTCAATTTTGTTCATTGTTATAACTTATAATTTATTGTTGTTGACATAATTGAGTATGTGATACAGTACGGACCTAGAAAAATGTCTTTTACTGGTCAAACGGTAAAGAACTGCATTGCATGTCTTTGTAGGGTGTCTGTTATGTTCTACATTGCCTTTAACAATTGGGATGTTTAATGAATTTTACTGTTCATCATACCCTGTGGGCTGGGTGCAATTCATAACATATCATTATGCATTCCTAACTGTTGGAGGCTTTGTTTTATCTTGACCCATAATGCTGATTACTCTTGACGTAGGAAATATGGGCCCAAATCTAGCCCTGATACCATATGCCTATGGCAAATGAATATTTAAAATTTCAACCTGCTTTATCTTCTTACCAGTACCCTATTGTAGCATATTTGATAGTGGACTGGAGATCGACACAATTTTCCATGGTCATTTAGTGGCAAACTAACCCAAGTACTTGGTGAATTTTCACAGAGAATCATCTAGATTGGGTTCCACCTTTTTAACCAGTTAGTACTTCTTTCATAATATATACAGGCAGCCAGCCATTTTTTATGCAATGGTAAAATCTCAGGATGACAAGCGTGAGAATGCAGTCTTAAGTCCCAGAGTGGCAACTTTGTGTAAACAATGCCAAAGTTAGGCAGTCTACCCCTCCCAACGCCTGTATGGCTTTGGATAAATTGAATGGTGTTTGGTATTTGTTACTTATTAAAGAGTAAAAGTAACGTAGTTCATGTGTTGCCAAGGTACAGACCACAGTATTGTTGGGATTTTGATTTATTTTCTGCATGGTTATAGGATGGGAACGAAGTGTTTTTCAGAATCAAGAGAAGCACTCAACTGCGGAAGCTGATGAATGCATACTGTGATCGACAGTCAGTGGATCTCAATTCAATTGCATTCTTATTTGATGGCCGTCGTCTCCGAGGAGAGCAGACTCCTGATGAGGTATTCCCCCTCCCCCCCTCCAAGTGTATGATGCATCATATATCTCTTAATACCTTTTTTTCCTATTTTGTACATTGGAACTGAATTTTATCTTCTATTATTACTGCAGCTTGAGATGGAGGATGGGGATGAGATCGATGCAATGTTGCACCAAACAGGTGGCGCAACTATCTAGATGCTGGATTGGGTGGTTCATTTGTGTAAAAAGGATCAAAGTTACAAATACTTTTCCTAGTTGCAGGTTGTTCGAGACTGAGTTCATAACGTGTAACAAAGATTATTCGGTTGATCATGTTTTGAATTATGTGGTGCTTCTGTTCTTGGTTACTCTCCAAGAAGCGGCAGAAAACTACAATCAAGTCATTGTCTGGAAACTTGTGGATATTATATTGTGGATCTCTTCAGATTACTATGCTATTATGGAAACCCAGGCACTTGAATATATTATATATGGTATATGTGTGAGATCTGGTTCTGTCATCATTTCTCTATGCTTCAATCCATGCTTCAATGTATAAGCTGTAAGGTCTTGATGGTTTGTTAGAATCTTTTGAACTTAATATCGGTTGAACTGTGAGACTCCTTATCCCCCAGCATTTTGGGTTAGGACAGATTGTACAGGAAGTGAGATAATGTTGCAAAAAAGCTTTGAGTTGTATGCATGGTGGAAAACAATCTATTACAACTCAGCCTTGAAGCAAATCAGATGACTAAAAACCAAAGAACTATGCTCATATTTGGACTTTTATCTTTTCTTTTATTGTTTACTCAATTGCAAACTGGAAAATGGGCTAGAAATTTTGTTTTGTTTTACACTTTTACTCCTTTTATAGGGGTAAGTGGAAGAATAGTGCACTGTGCACTTGTTATTTCAATCTCATAAAAATATATCCTAGATGTTTTTTCCAAAGAGAAAAAGAAAGAAACTTTCCTTCTTATATTGCAGTGTATATTTCCTTATTTTGCAGTGCTAATATACATGCAAAATTCTCGAGTCTTGACCATCTGGAGTTGACCCGGATGGTTGGACTGTTTGGTCTGGAAATCAGACACACAGACAATCGGTTCTGTTTCACCCGGATCTGAGACTAGATCCCAGAGAGAGAAGCAATATTGCTGTAGATCTGAAAATCACATCTGATATCTCAGTTCTCAGATCTCAGAGAGGTCCAAAGTTGCCATTGCGTTTTCTGTTGCCACTGCCGCTGTCATTGCTATAACCGATGAACATCGGATGCTCCTTCCGCCCTTTCTTTTTCAGCCAACGTCTCTTTTTAAGTTTTTTCTAAGACTAAAAATAGTATAGCCTTAATTTTCCAATCTAATCAGACCGATTGAACTGTTAGACCCAGATGGTCAAACCACTGACCCAGAAACCGGTGGCCGAAGATCAGTATCTTTAGTCACCATCCGCCTGTAAATCAGTTTTTAAAATAAGGGATTTTACCACCTGTGAAATCCTAATTCCATCTTGCAGTTGGGTGTAGGTGCCAGCTTGAAATTGATGCCAATTTATGAGCCAATTTGGATGTTATAGGTGGAGGTGTTCATACATTTGAATTGTTATAGGTACGCAGTTCAAATGTTGGAGTGCAGTCTAAAAATCCCTTTAAAATATTGCGAAGATCAGCATCATTAGTCACCATCCATCCGTAGACGACAGTCGGGATAAACATTAGCTTAATTTACAAGGTCAATCTGTCAATTTCTTACTCAATTTCATGGAATCAGAATTTTGGCATTGACGGTAAAATTAATTACAATGCAGTTTGGAATGACTGTACAAGTTTTTAGTTACAATGTACAAGTATTTACAGCTTGGGCCGTTGCAAGGGAAAAAACAAAAAAGACCTTGATGAAAGCAATAAAATGAAAAAAAAAATAAATGAATATAAAATTAAATGTTAACTAGAAATATGATGCAGCAAATGCGGGTTGCAACATTTAGCCATCTTGCATGCCTTCAATCTTTTTTCGTCGTCTCAACATGTGTGCATTCTCTTGAGCTTTATGGTGGTGTCTGCAATCAAATGGTTATATCATTGGAATTTCATTTTATCATTCTCATTATCCATCAAAATTAGGATATAGGAATTCTTTGAACTTACCTGGAATGGATATTCCTCCTGTCTTCTACCTGTACAGCCAAACCCAACATATAATTAATCACAAGCAAAACATGGACAAAGTACTTATCCATGTCAAATTTACAGCATCAGATAGAAACCAGTGAAATATTCAACCTCAAATGTTTCAACTCTCAAGGCATACTTTTCAGATCAGCAAAGTTCAGTTCTTTTCAAAGGTTTATGACCTAGAGAAATACGGTAACTAGTAAATGTAATCTAATTCACACTACTTGATTGAGTAAACAATCTCAATAACAATATGGTCATCATATTTCTTCAAAAAGCTAAGTTTTTCAAGTCATTTTCATCTATAAACCATAATGGCAACCCAAATTAGCAGGAGAAATTACTTGATTTTAACACAAGTGGTTGATGAGCATCTCTAATGGGACAATCAGAAGGCATTTGCATAGACAAAGCAGCAATAAGGTCTTCAGTACTTCTTGCTAAAGCAATAGCAAAGCATATTGATCTGGAAATGTCTCTATATCACCATAGCAAACCATATTGATCTGGAAATGTATTTCACCATAGCAAACCATACTTGAAAAGCTAAGTTTTTCAAGTCATTTTCATCTATAAACCATAATGGCAACCCAAATTAGCAAGAGAAATTACTTGATTTTAACACAAGTGGTTGATGAGCATCTCTAATGGGACAATCAGAAGGCATTTGCATAGACAAAGCAGCARTAAGGTCTTCAGTACTTCTTGCTAAAGCAATAGCAAAGCATATTGATCTGGAAATGTCTCTATATCACCATAGCAAACCATATTGATCTGGAAATGTATTTCACCATTACCTTTATTGTGCAAGGAGTCAAGGACATTCGATCTAAAAAAGAACACGAAGATAACTATTAAGTGATAATCCATGTCTGAATATGCAAATAATTTCCACTCTTATCAGCAGCAGTGAACATTTATGTAAGAACACATGATGCTTCTCAGGCTTAGCCTCAAAATTTATGTTAGTTTGACTCTAAGAGCAAAAATGCTGAAGGTTAGGTTTGCACTCAGTTTACCACTCCCAAAACCACAGATGGCCATGATCAACATTGGGTAATGGCCCTATATACATGACGCTTCTTGAATTATTTTCTTTCTTTTTTTGATCATATCTTTGATTAACAAAATCAAATTACTCTTTAACATATCTCAACTTGACGCTTGTCATGTCCTGAATTGCCAACTATATTGTATGCTCTTGGCTGGTGTATTACTGCAACACCTATTCTCTTCTTTTGCAGTTTAGTGTACAACACTAATTTTTATATACTGAATCATTTTTTGCCTTTTACCCTTTTTGATAACTAATCTGCAGTCCTTGCAACAACTACCTTTGGAACAAATGACATAGTTTGAATAACATTTATTGGAATATGGACCGGCTAACTTTGTGGTTGAATGATCCTGGGTCAATATATCATGCATTTCATCCCTTGTAGAAAGTCAAGGAACAAACTCAGTCAGTATTCCATGCTTACAACAAGTAGGTACATACTTCAGTTACGTAGAAGCTATTTCAAACTGGACTGAAGCTATTCCTTAAGAAAAGGGCAGCCCAGTACATGAGGCTCCCGCCAATGTGGGGACTGGGGAGGGACAGATGTACACAGCCTTACCCCTGCACATACAGAACATACAGAGAGGCTGTTTCCAAGATTTGAACCCTGACCACCCAGGTTGCAATGGAGCAACCCAACCGTTGCACCAAGGCCCACCCTGGATTGAAGCTGTTCCTTATTATTCCAAATTCTATCAGAGATGGCATTCTTCTGTAAATTCTGTGTCACACCAGCAATGCTTGGAATACAGTCATGGAAATGCTTGTCAGAAAATCTGTTCATGCATGTGTGGCAAGCAGAAAATTGTTAAAAAAGTGTCTAAAGGTTCATGCCTCGTTGTTTCGTTAAGAGCATAACAATTATTATACCATTATAACATGTTGATATGTATCAAGTGAAGCTTGTGTTTGCTCATGCATAGGGACTAAAGCTTCTATGTGGTGACAATCATAATTCCTCATACATGTGCTCTAATAGAATCCACAACTTACATGAATTTGAGATCCACATTTCTGTCTGCAACGACTAGACTGTGACCGGAGGGCTAGGCAAGATAGTTGTTGCAAAACCTCCTGGATATGGTTGTAGATGCTGTGCATAATCATAAACAAATCAGTGATTAGTCTGGTAATACTACCACTGGAAGAGATGAAACAGAAAGATGCTGACACGCAATCATAAGTGTGTAGAAAAGAATGAGACGTCTTTGCCTTTTATAATTTTGTATTAATGAAGGCTTAACTTTCAAAGAAGTGTTAAAACGGGGGCACTTTTTAGGATTGTAAATCTAACTGAATTTGATAAAGGTAGGGGCCATTGCTTGGTTTGGTGATAAAATCTCAGGACAATAAACATGAGAATGCAAAGTCTAACGGTGGCCACTTTGAGCAAAAAAAAAGGGTTTCTAGCCGATAGGAGCATCTTTTCGCCCCTAATATCAATAAAAATAACCTTTTAATTATAATTTCAAAAAACAGGCAAAAACCTTTTTTTTTTATAAAATATCAAATAAGGGTAAGAAATGGGCAAAAACACTGTTCATTGTCTCCAAACTCGTGACGATAGCAGGACAGCGGAAACAACCCCTCCATTTTCTCTCTCTTTGCCCCTTCCTCTTCTTCTTCTTCTTCTTCTTCCATCTTTGGTCTTCGATCCTGTTTGTCGTCTTTTGGCGATGAACATCTTTCAGCAGCGATGTTTCCTAAACATCTGAGTGAAGTTCCTTTGGCAGCCTTCAAACATCTGAGTGGGGTAAATAAAATCAAACCCAGGAAGACATTTTCAAACAGGTTTCATGCCTACCATCGTGCAGTAGCTGTTGAAGCCGCACAGACCTTTGACTTGACATTTTTTGTCCTTGCTCAGTGCCTCCCACACAGTAGACACCGAGGTAAATACATTATTTCCGTCCAAGCTGTGGGAATACAATCGGAAAATCCCACAGTAGACTCAGATGTTTAGGAAACATCACTGCTGAAAGATGTTCATCACCAAAAGACGATGAACAGTGTTTTGCCGCCCTGCTCTTGCCCCGAGTGTGGAGACAATGAACAGTGTTTTTGTCTATTTCTTACCCTTATTTGATATTTATGAAAAAAGACTGTTTTTAGAAATTATAATTAAAAGATTATTTTTATTGGTATTAGAGGCGAAAAGGTGCTCCTATCGGCTAGAAAAAGTGGAAAAGGTTAGGTCAATCCACCCTTCCCAAGGCCTCAAATAGCTGGGACCAACATTGGGTAATCCCTTTCTTAATGGAATTTGACAAAATTTATGACAGTGGGAGAGAGAAGTGGATTGAAAACCTCATCTTCCCTGGGTAAAGAAGCATCAACAGAAAAGGAGAAATTGGAGGCCAGTAAAACCACAAACTCATCCTTTCTTCTTTTACATTTTTCCCCTTTATTTGCAGCGGAAACAGAGGTTGGATGGCTTACCCAATGCACATTTTTCTATGTAAACCTTGGATATTTGATATTACAACCTTCCTGTGGCTACAATATCATCTTCAAATCCAGAAGTGATTTGAAGGTGGAGTTGGGACTCTAAAGCAGGAACAGCAACTCAAATGGATGATTCTCCAGAAATAGATATGGATTTCACTTGCTTTTCTAATGAACAATCATTTCACAGTTAGATATAAATAAATGTCTAAACTTCAATTATCAAAGCAAAAAAAAAATAATTAATTGCTAAAAAGAATAGACACACCAGTAACTTGAATGGCACAATTTTGGAAAATGGGATACATCAACCATATGCTTTGCAACCATTAGTTGTTGGTTATGTGCATAAGTAAACCCCCCTGCACCTCTCAGAACATAAGTTCCCTATTTGTCAATGCTCTCTATTATCTACAGATTTGATTTTAATTAGTTGCATGGCACTACAACATTTTGAAAGTTTGAGGTGGACTTATTTTCCAGAATTCCAAATAAATTGATTTATTGCCCAATTTCCACTCTGGGAGTCCAAAATCTACTGTTAAAAAATTGGCAGAGTTGATCCAGTGGGTATGCATATGACTTGTACATGGTTGATGCTTATCCTTGTTTAAGCCAACCATGGGGATAAGGGTCGTTGGACTCCTAAATGTCCAGAGTGATGACGGTAGTTCAGGTTGGTGAAAGGGAAAAAGGAAAGAGGAAAGAGAGGAGAGAATCTGGGTTCTCTCCATAATGGATCTAACTAATGTTTTAATAACGAGTCCCCATATGGATATGGGGCCTATTTATAGTGTTTCGGGTTTCATCTTTCTAGAATTTTCTTTTTCTTTCACTTTACCCATTTTGCCCTTGTGCTTAATTAATGAACATGTTTAGTTAATGCATGTGCTCTTAATTATCATTCTAGAATATTCTTAAATGTTATTGTTCTAAAAGCCTCAACTCTTGATTTGTTTTATAAATTTATAAATAATTGGCAGATAATTAATCTGACCCGGATTTATGCCGGATTGGACGGGTTGATGTTCTTACACAACTCCACTGTATTACACCTTGTTGCAATTTGCAAACAACATACCTTAGTCGATGCCTGTTGCAGGCTATGAAGAAGGCAATGAAACCATTTAAGATGCTCCGGACAGCACGGAAAATCTGCAGGAAAGAAATGAAAGTTAATTTGAAATGAAAATAAAATGTGTGAATTTTACTATTGATCGGAATATATATAATTATACATTCACAAAAACCTGAGAGAAAAGGTCATTCCACAGTGCACGCCACATGGAAATCTCAGAGGTGCTCACTGCTGCCTCAGAAGCTGTGGCAATCTGGAAGATACTACTTATTGATGACCACAGCTCTCCCAGCAAATTAAATATGCAGGAGCAAATAAAGGCTATAGAACTTGCTAATGCAATAACCAGGCGGATGGGAGTATATAGTATTTCCTTAAGGGCCCAAAATATTGGGTATATAATTGATGATCCTGTGATATGACACAAACAAGAAAAACATGCTGTTAATATGATATCCCATCAAGACATTAGCTAACAAATATATCAGTAATTTGAAAGAAGCATAGTCCTTGCATCAAATGATGACATACCGATTCTCCAGATGATAGAAATAATAAACCACAATGGTGAGAATAAAACCTCTAAAAGGTTCATTACTAGGCTGCATGAAGAACCAATTGTAATCCAAATTACAGAACAGAAGCCCTCAACTGCTTCAAGACATATATTCCAAATGGGAAAGAGGAAATCCATAAACTCCAGAAATGGCCCTATTGGTTGTGTGAGAACTGAAAGAAATGATCTGATGGCATGTGTGACCATTAAGAACCACTTAACTGCCTTCTCAAAATTATGAAGAAACAGCATGGTGCCCAAGTATCTGATCCTTGATATCATCTCCCAACTTTCTATCCAGTCAAAAAGAGGCCCACACAAGCGTGATGCAGTTGCTTTCAGGAGTGGAACATTTTTGTATAAATCATAAAACCCAATGAGAACAGTTATAACTGAAATCAGCACATACAAAGCTCTTGCAAGGGGGCACATCCATGGACGATAGAGGTGGCAAAATACTGGATATGATTGAAGAAAAATAACCCAAGATGGAAGCCCAGACTCTAGTAAAGTTAGTAACCGCACATCTGACATGATTATTTCCCTCAATTTAAATGGAAGGTCATGGTCATTGAACCTAAACAAAATCAAAACGTCCCTGTACTCACTAGCTTCAACTGTATTTTCACTGTCACTGCTACTAGTAGAAATTGAAATCTCTGAATGTTGTTGTGAGTTATCAATTTCACTGTGAGTCTTGGAAAATGTATCCATTTCATCTCTGGAATTAATGTATTTTATTATTTTTCTTCTCTTGTATGGCCCAGTGGCAGGAGGTGGTGTGTGTAGTGCACTTTTATTTTCAACACTTGCAGGGTATACACCAAATTTGTTACCAATGCTGTAAGGAGATTTTTCTGGAAGACAATCATCATCAGAATAGATGCTTTCACTGTCACTAACAGGTTCAGTCCATGAGAAATCTTCTCTGGTGTCATAGAATACATCTCCTGGAGAAGTTTCAAAAACTATCAGTTGTTGAAAGGGACTGTATAAATAAAGTAGTATCTCTAGTCAGCCAGAAAATGGAGGGTCATGCTACCCATCATTTGGCGGTCCAACAAAACAGATCTTCTAAAAGCCATACAAGAAGATTAATTATCCAAAAGAATATAGTGGATTAGATAGTCGATTTGGTAAATTTGTGGACAAATAATTTCATGGTGATTATGTGGGATGCATGGGTGCTCCATCCCCACCACCAACAAACAAAAAGGAAAGAAAGGAAATAAAAAGGTATGGCATGTGTACAGAATAGACTGTACCAGTTGCTACTTTCCATTCATCCACCTTTATGCATATTAAAAGAGAGGAATGATGAAAAAGAGAGAAAATACCTCTAATGGAATCTAGGCACTTCCGCAATAGAATCTGTTCAAAGTGTGTTCCTGAGAACCATGAAGGAATTGAACTTGAAGCTTGTTCTATACTTTCAAATTCCCATCTTTTCATGAATTTAGCCTCTATTGCCATACATGTATCTGTCTGTTAGTGGCATACACAAACATTTAGGACACGACAGCAAGCAGAGAAAAATAGACATTGAAGATGCAGCACAAAGTGTGAGACTACCTGAAGCTCATTCAAATAGTTGATACCGCGGACACTTTCCCATGCAACTTCAAATACAATGAAACCATATAAGATCTGATTCAACTGACGATCCAAGAGCAAGGAATTCCTCAGTTTCTCAGGCAACAGGGCTTTCTTTTGAGATAATTTTGTCACATCAATCAGCATGGACCATCTCTTATATTTACCGGGCTTGCTAGTGTTGGATATGGAACTATCCTTCAAATCAAACCTATTCCGGAGGTTCTTTCTCTCCCTTCGTGCTTTAGTGTTTGCAAAGGGGGATAACCTAGACTGTACAGAATACAAATTAATGTCATTATTGTCATTATTCAATAACTGGCTAAGACTCTAGGAGCAGCACTTTGTCAAAGGAAATATGTTATAACCTTTACAACCATGAATTGCCACAAATGTGCAGCTCGTGAATCCAGGTATGTTGACCATGGTCGATTGTCCACCAATATAAAGAATTTCTTAGTTTCGGGGGCCAGGAAAAGACTAAGATGCGAAAGATAAGATTGTAAATCCCTGCATGGTGCAAACATGGAAAACAAGGCAAAATTATTCACCATAAAAATAACCAGTAAATGCCCATGCATGAGCTTTACATATCACTCTGATCATATGACAAATTATTTCACTATTGGCCTTGGTAACCCTTGCTCTAGAATAAACTAAATTGTTACATATTCATCTTTCTCGGTGTTCAATGTCCAAAGGGGGAAAAAGAGAAATAAAAGGAATAAATTATATGATATATCTAAGAATGCAATTCACATTTTTCAGACCAACATACTTAATTTTCTGCAGAACTGCATGAAATTGCCAATCTTTCATGTTGGGTACTAGCTGCTAACTGCCTACCTTTTAGAGGTCCACATTGGAAGTCCAATGGGTTGTAAGGTTGTTGATATCAAACATATGACTGAGAATATTTACCTGTAGTGGCATTTTCCTTCCTCTTGTATTCCTATAAAGAGTACTTTAAGGACATTGAAACTTGAGTGAAAACCACACTAGAAAACCTGTGGCTCTCGTGCTTCACCAAAATCAATACTTCTAGGGTGGTTTTTGCCTTTTCGCTTATGTGTTGGGGGGGGGGGGGATTAGAGTAGCTCAACGTCTGATCCAAGCAAGTGCGATCAGATCATTTCTGGTGGCTGAGCATTACTAGCACAGAACATAACCTCAGAATGCTATCAATTAGTGCAGCCGTCTGTCCAAACCTTGAAATGATAATTAAAAATTCAAAGGAACAAGAAGGCTTTTAAATGATAAATATTTAGGAGTGGTATACATTATGCTGGGAACCCGCAAATGTGATTGTATAGCATACATTCCACCAAAGAGGCATTGAATGGTCTCTAAGAAATTCCCAGAAATCAATTTGGGTTACCTCCAAAATCCTGCAATGATAAGTAGAACGGCCTCTACAAGCAGAGCTGAAACAAAGTTTGCTGAATTTCATTTTCAGGCTATGAATACTCAACGATATGGCAACTCCCGAAGATCCAATTGGACAATTATGTTTAGATTCGGTAATATAAATACAATCTTTAATTCAAAATTCAAACTTTAAGAGCTCTACCTACTCAAAATTTTGAAAAAAAAAAAGCAAAAAGAAAACACAGTAAAGACAAGAGAAAGAGATTGGAATTGATTTCAAGCAGTCCTCATGTGTCTGGATGGGAACAATGGTATGATTAAAAACGTTTCACATTCCTATGATCAGTATCCAATAAATTCCAACAAAGTGAAGAAGGGGGAAGGACAGTCTTACACACCCAATTTGTAAGCTTGTTAAAGGGAAGAAACATTGATCATTTTCGTCTGTCATCCTCGACATTATGCTCTAAGCGCTGCTTAAAGCAGGAATTAATACCGAGAAATCCTGAAATATCTGCAAAAGTTTAATACGATACACGACATGTTAGAGAATTCTCCACTACAATTAAAAATAAGAAAAAATAAAAGAAAGAGAGACGATACTAGGAGGGAATATGAGAAAAAGGAAAAAGAGAACACCTAAAACCAAAAGTTGATCAAACGCATTCCATGAGAGCGATGGAATGACGACGAAGGAAGATGGGGAAACAGAAACGAAGCAATCACCACCGAACTTCATAACAAACTAGCCGCGCCCAGAACTAAAGTGAATTCGTCTGAGAAACGTTAACGGCCGTGATCAAAAGACGGCAGATATCATACGGACAAGCAGTAGCGACACGCGCACCGAAACATCGAGAATTCGAGACAGAAATTAATACGCAATAAGAAGGCAGTTAATGAAGGAGAGACGGAGAGAGAGAGAATTCAAAACCCAATTGGAAGGAGAAGAGCAAACCAGAATCGCCCCTTCTCTCTCTCTCCAAACATTATTGCGCTGATGGAGGAGTTCCCTTCGCTTGTAAGGCGTGTCCAGGAGAAGCCTCAATCGAGGAGAAGGACACGTTGAGGGGGAAACGTCATTGCCTCATTGGTGATTGGAGTTTTTCTCGTAGCAGAAGAGATCCGAATAAACAATTAATAGAAGAGGCTGCTTTATTCTTAATTCTTAAGATTTTTCTTAATTAAGCCTCAATTCCCGTAGGGATTATCGGGATCTGATACTCGCCGCCAGCATCATCTCTCTGTCTCTGAACTTCGGTAGTCTTTTCAGTCTTTCTCTCCTTTCCCTCTCTCTCTCTGCTTGTCTATCTCTAGTCTCTTCTCAGAAGGAAGGAGAGAACTGAAGAGGGCCAAAGACGATTAAAGATTTCGAACGCGAGTGGGAAAGCGAAGGAAATCCCCAGGGAAATTATATGGGACACGCGTTGTTGGCGACAGCCAGACACACAATTATGTCAACATTACAATTAGGTACCGAGTCGAGTCTTCCTCCATGATACAGTTTAGTTTAGCTGGTGGGGCCTCATCCACTGGATCCCACTCAAAAGGGACATCATCTCTCGTCTACATCTAGAGCGATGATCTGCGATCCTATCTTGATTTCATTTTAGATAAGATACATCCGTTCGTACCTTTGATTTTAACCGTTCGGAATTATTCTTGAACGGCAAACGCGGCCAGGGCCATTCTCTTTTCTCTGCCTCGCTTTGGGTACGAGAGACGGTGGGGGGGTATGGTATTGGTATGGAGGAATGTGTGCACTTTTCAGTTCACGGCTTCACGCATTCCGTGGACTGGATTCGTCCAAATTATTGAGTGGGCCCCGCTAAAGTTTGGAGGTATGTAGGGCAACAGCGCGGTCGCGGTGGGCTTGGTGGTGGGGTCCATCAGCCGTTTCGGGCAAGATCTGGCTTCTTTCTTCTCTGACAGCGTGCGTGATGTACAGATGTGATGCTATGTCAATAATTCTGATTTACTTTAATTATGGGATAAGGTACTGTGCATCACATGGGGATGGGGGGTAGGATTAGGATGGATTTATGTATCTCCAATCCTATGTATAATTACCATTATAGCCTAGTCTGGCCCGGCCTCATCTCACCTCTCTCTCTCTCTATCTATGGATCGGATCGACCTGCCCAGCGGCCCAGCCCAATTACTGATATAATTTAGGGAGAATGACGGCCCAGCCTAATTCAGTACGTAGTACGTATCAAATCAGTTGCAGTTGGGCTGAATTGGATGAATTGACTGATCTCAGTCACAACTGATAGTGATAATGTGATATTGACATCTTCCTAATAGATATCAGTAAATTTCCAATTATATCCTTGTTACAAATTTTAACAGTAACAAAAACTGTTTTGATTGGAAAAACATGATGGCTAACAAAACCAGTGGGCCAGTGGCTTGTGCAGAGCAGATTCGTTCGTTCCTTCTTTTGTTTTTTGTGCGTCCAAATGATATTTATTAAGGCTAAGCGTAAGTGCGTAACATGCTTCCCAACTAATCCTCTCTACTATCTACCAACTATTAATATTTTAATGAAATTTCCTTTATTTGTTTATTGGCATCGTTTTCGGATATAAGTATCTAAGAAGAAATCAGTTCACAATATAAAAGATTTGGTGGGTTGGGAAAAACAGAAGCATCTCAGCCATTATTTAATTGTAATTTAAGGAATAAGGAAGAGAAAGGAAGCTGAAGAATCCAAAAAGACTTTTTGTCTCTTCTACCCCTTCACTCAGTTCAATTTTGCCACCATGCAAATCCCAATACAATACTTAATGCTGATTTTGTGCAAGCAGAACTTTTCAGTGTCCAGAGTTGAAAGAGTTTCCCCATTTGTTAAGAGGAAACAATCTCATTGATGATGATTTCATGGCCCATTAACAGACCAGTTTAAATCCAATCCAACAGAAAAAAAAAAAAAGAGTGACAAGTTAATTCCTGATTAAATCAATATGACCAAGTTTGAGAGTTCTTATTTGAAAAAATAAGTATTTTTTCTAATAAGTGTTATAACGGTAGTATAGGTATTTTGAAAATGATGTGACAGGCCAAGACAGGCAAGAAAGGAAATAAGAACTCATTGAATAATTACTTAAAAATAAGCCAGAATTTTAGGCTTCTCAAATAAATGTTTATTTTTAGAATAAGCATTTATTTTGGACTTATTTTCCAAATGCCGATAAGTGTTTATAGGTATCGTCCAGAAACATACATGCTGGCCTAGGCCCATCTCGAGTAATAAAAAAACTCGAATTTCTTGGGCCGAAACTCAATTTAAAGACCAAAAATCCAATTCCAACCTGGAAAATTTTGGACTGGGGTTTGGCTCGCCCAAATTGCATCCTTGAAAAACAATAACAGAATAGTGACAAAACAAAATGCAAATAAGATTCTACAAACAAAGAGTAATTCCACTTTTCTTGATGGATCCAGCAACACTTGAACACAACCTTGGACTTCACAAAGCTAATAATACAATCCGAATTGGGCAGAACTTCTTGGAGGTTTTGATAGCCTTCCAATAAAGAGGATATTTAGTCAGTGTTCTTGTGACTTCTACGCATTCCCTTTTATATGTAATTGCCACAATGTCTCTCCTATGAAAGAGAAAACAAGAGCCGTTACCAAGGATAAACTCACCAACATTAATCTTGTTCTACCCCTTTGGATTGAGACAAGTGTCTCAATGATCATGGTTTTAAACCACATGATCACTCAGCCCATTCTAAGCCAAACATCCTCTTGCTGACTTAGTCAAAGGCTGAAATGGATCCAACTTAGACCCAATAACCA